TATAGAAATGAAACAATCATTGCATCGCATATATCCGACGAACAACACGTAGTAGCTGTTTTTGTTTTATTATCTTGAATCAAATTTTTCAAATGCTGAACCGATTTAATACTTGATCCGAATCGTTCTTTATAATAAAGAAAATCAGTATTTGTCATTGGTTCTGGTGATTCAAGATAATAAAACAAAAACAGCTACTACGTGTTGTTCGTCGGATATATGCGATGCAACGATTGTTTCATTTCTATAATAATAATAATAAAAAGCAATTTACATTAATCCTTTCAGAATAGACATGAATTGTCAATAGTTCGTCTTTCAAAAAGCGACTGAATTGTTATACCATAGAGAAAAACATTATATATTGGAAATAAGGTACGGGCTAGCATACACACTTAATCAAGATTTATGAAAAGAAAACGTAAAAGACTAATGAAAACATGTCTATGAATGATAAACACGTTGAAAAGATTGAATATCCTGTCTACATATTGGACATTGTTTTTGATTTTGATTTTGTAGACTATTACAACATTCTGCACATAAACCTATATGACCACATGGTTGCATTATATAATGACTTTTATCTGTTAAACAAATAATACACGACAGATGTTCGGGCACTGATGTGGGTTCCTCCGACGGTGGTGCATTTGGTCGTAAATCTTGTGGTACTGGGTGCTGTTCTGGATGTCCGTTTGCTCTTAGGTAATCAGGATCACGCGTGCCCTTATAAACCAGATAAGCAAATGTACCTACGGCAAGAAGACTAAATACTGAAAATATTATTTTAAATGCAGTTACATCAGTATCATAGCTTCTTATAATGTCTTGTTTTGATAAACGTGTTAAAATACCACCATATTTTTCATGAACAGTCAAATGCCAAACACCATTTGAATTTTTAATTAATTTACCAATACCAATTAAACTATCATTGATTAATAACATTCGTTCTGTTGTTGTAAAACCTTTAAATGAAAGGCATGAATAATAAATTATAAAACAATTATTTTTGGATCCATAATAAAATTACAGATTTCCATGGTTTTTCGGGAGACCTTCGAACATCTGAAGAATCCACGATGAACACACAGGCACAATTGTCCGTCCGTCCGCATGCCAGTTATTTCATTTTCATCTTTTCAATTTAAATCAGCAGCCGATTATTTTTAAGGGAAGAACAGAAATAGATAATGGCGCCGAGAATAACAGGAAATCTTCTTGAATAAACTGAAAAAACAGTGGATCTAACTACAAGCGATAGATGTCGCTGTAAAATATCAATATACCGCCGAGAAATATGAATTTTGATCAAAATCAACTTAATAAGTAGAAAAGATAGGGGCTGCCCTGACAACGTTTTTGCGGTAATTTTCATATGCTAACCAACCGTAACAGAAAAAATGAAGATTTTCTATAAGTTTTCTGTTTTATATTGACATCCACTTTTACATAAAAAAGAATTTAGCATGACCCACAAT